AATAGAGATTGCTAGAGTTAGAGGGTCAAATAAAGATAGAAGAGATGTGTTTTTAACCGAATCTTGAAGATGGCTAAGGACTGCTCGGACTGAGTTGGGCAGGTCATTCCACCAGGAGGGAACATTCAATTTAAAAGTCAGAGAAAGTGATTTTGTGCCTCTTTGGGATAGCACAACAAAGCGCCGTTCACTTGCAGAATGCAAGCTTCTAGAGGGCACATAAGTCTGAAGTAATTAATTTAGGTAAAGGGGTGCAGAGCCAGTGTTGGTTTTGTAGGCAAACATTAATGCCTTGAATTTTATGCGAGCAGCTATTGGTTGTCTTGGCAAGGTTGAGTTGAAGGTGATGGTCCTTCATCCAGCAAGAAATGTCTGTTAGACAAGCTGAGATGCGAGCAGCTATCATTGAATCATCAGGATGGAATGAGAGGTAGAGTTGAGTGTCGTCAGAATAGCAGTGATATGAAAAGCCATGTTTCTGAATGACAGAACCTAGTGATGCCATGTAGACAGAGAAAAGAAGTGGTCCAAGAACTGAGCCCTGAGGCACCCCTCAACAGAAGATGTTGTGACTTGGACACCTCACCTCTCCAAGATATCTTGAAGGACCTTTTTAAATTCAACTTTTCACTCAAATTGTTATGCTGATAATATAATTTGTATTGCACATATGTATTAAATTATAAACATATTTTCACTAGTTGTCTTAGACTTTTGGACTTTTGGTCTGCTTTAATCATGATCTGTGTTAACCATCCACCTGTTTCACTCTCTCATACAGGACGTTTGTTGATTTTACAAGAACCCCTTCAAACTGGGACGCCTGATTGGAATAAGCCAGCAGGATTCGGGGGGGGTGAAGGAAGGGAAGAGGGATTAGGGGCTTATCCTGGACATGACCAAACCTTAAGGAGCCTCCGTCAAGCCATAGGCTACTATTGCCCAGATTATTACATTTAATTTATTGCCTTTTAAAGACCCTTTATCTCCCCCTGGAGATTCCTGGCGAGTGGGCCGCTGGATTTGAGTATCTTTAAAAACAAAGGATCAGGAGCAGAGGCCAGTGGGAGTGGAGGAGCATGAGGAGAGTATACATGCAAGGATAAAGCAACAAGCCTCCATGCCGCTTTACACTTCAGCAGGGTGCAGGTCAAGGGTTACTGAATGAACTTGTATTGGGAAAGCATGCGATCACATTGATTACACAAGTCTGATTAAGGTATGTGAACCTCTGTAACTTTTAGCAGTATATTAAAAAAATATATATATTATATATATATATATATATATATATACCGACCAAAATACTGTGCAAGTGAATGACTGAGAAGTCAAAGCTGAATTTAGGCATTTAAAAGGCACTACACTATAATTTAATAAAAGACTTATTAAAAACGTATTAGTCAAATTAACTCAGTTTTACAGAACATGCCATTTGTCTGTGCCTATGTCTCATACCATATTGTATGACTTTCTTTTTAGCAACTGAATTGTTTACAGATATTTTGTTAATATTTGCATCTTCCAGAGCATGTGGCAGCAGACTCTCTGGACCTTACTAAAGAAGGAGCACATGGTTTCAGTCCTAAACCACATATCTGCAGTCTGAGCTGAATTTATTTCTGAACTGATTTTTTTTTCAAAAGCACAAACCTAGAACAACTGTGAAGCCCAGAATCTTTGACCACATATGCAGCAGAGGTTTTCAGGAATTGGAGTCATGCATATTTTCAGCTCACATTTATCTTCACAGAATCTTTCTGGATATGAACAAAGACCGATGGCCAAAACGGGACATAGCTGAATGCGTCTGCCTTTTGAGAAACTTTCCACTCAACTGCAGTTGTTATTCTTCTGAGATATTTTGAAGCTTGAAGGGTGATACGTGTGTAATTTGCTTTCTTACGTTGTTCTCACAATTTTTTTTAAACAAATTTTGTGGATTTTTTTTTCCGGATTCTGGAAACTTACTTTTTGTACCCGGAGACGCCATGAACTTGGGCAAGCTCGCCGGCCTGAAGGGCCTGGTTTCCCACTCCTCAGGAAAGCGTCGATTTAAAGGTGACCTCACCCCAGACATGATCAGCCCCCCATTGAGCGACTTCCGCCACACCATGCATGTGGGCCGTGGAGGGGATGTGTTTGGGGACACCTCGTTCCTCAGCAACCATGGTGGAGCAGGAAATAACGTAGATGGAGACTCTTGCACTTCAGAGAAGAATGAGGGATTCTTCTCCCGCACGCTTCGCCATGTCCGCAAGACCCCCGACAGGCCCCGCGGCGACTCCAAGGACCTTTCACCCCCACCTCCAATCATTTCTCCAATCATAAAGAATGCCATTTCCCTCCCCCGGCTGGACGTGGACTCACCCAACGGCTGTCCTGTGAAAGTGCTTTTCCCTAGTTCACCCAAAACACCAGAGAACTCCACATGCTTGTATGGTGAGTTTGTTAGTGTTGTTCACCTTCGTCAGACTCTGATTCAAATGCAGAAGAGAAGCCCATAAGTTATGGGCCTTCTGTGTGTGTACAGAAGTCACTCCTGATATGATTGAAACCGCATGGCTGATGGAGGGTATGATGGTACACAATCAAGGAATTTTAAATGTGAGCTATCTAGGCTTTGGAAGGTCATGAAAATAAATAAAATCCTTATAAAGCTTCAAAAAAATCATGAACGTTACCTTGATGAATATAATTTTGCAAATTTTTTGTAGCACCACATCTCAGACAAAAGAACAGTGTCTAAAAGAATAGTCATCACTGCATTAACAATAAATTCAGTTCAGTTCTATACACTATATCACGTGGATTTAATATACAGTAAATTAAGTTGTGAATGTGCAGTTTTTGTTAGCAAATAATACTTAAAATAAAATATTAATAACTGAAATGTGTGTACCAAACAGGATTAAGCAATATAAAAATTACTATTTTTATTCAGCACGGACACATTAAATTGATCAAAAGTGACTGTAAAGACATTTATGATGTTACAAAAGATATTCTATTCACCAAAGAATACTGGGAAAAAAATGTATTCATAGCTGTTTTCACAAAAATATGAATCATTATAAGTATATCAGCATAAATATTAATCATTAACTGTTTTTAACATTGGTAAGGAAATTTTACTTGAGCACCAAATTAGAATATTAGAATGATTTCAGAAACAATCATGTAACTCTGAAGACTGGAGTAATGGCTGTTGAAAATGCAGATTTGCCATCACAACAATAAATAATATTTTAAAATAGAAATTTGTTATTTATAAATTGTTGTATTATATTTTTGGTCAAATAAATGCAACCTTGTTGAGCATAAGAAACTTCTTTCAAAAACGATAAAAACCTTACTGATCCAAAACCTTTGAATGGTAGTGTACGTAGTATGTTTTGTCTGAATTAAATGTTTTGTTTACTAGCTTTGTGTCCTTCAGTAAAACATGTGTCAGATCAAACATAAATTGTTTGATAAACCATCTAAACACCTGTGGCAATCCCAGACTCCTTAGACCCAGACATTACAGTTCAGTGATCAGCGTCTGCCTCACCCATTCAAATACCTCAAACATGCCTCACTGGCTGCTCTACAGGAGAGCCTGTTCAAAAACAACCCCCCGCATACAAAAAATAAAAAACATACACCAAATGCACACTCAAACAGTCTGATGAGTTTAATAATCAATATATGGAAAGTTTTAGTAAGCAAACTAAGTGTTTAATTCAGCTGACTGAATGGCTCACCATCAGACTGAAGGCTATAATGTTGTTCTGACCGGGAGCTATGAATGAGATGTTTTAGTCCTGAGCACACATCCCGTCTTAGAGCCCTGTTTTCAATCATGTGAAGAGTTTCTGTATCCATGCTTTTCCTGTAATTTGTAATTGCTGAACTTTCTGTGCACTGTTACAGAGCTCTATATGGTCAAAATCACAGATCTTAAAAGGACAGTTCACCTAAAATGAAAATGTTGTTGTCATTTACTCACATTCTTTGTGTTGCTCCAAACCTGTATGACTTACTTTCTTCTGTGTAACACAAAATAATATATTTTGACTGTATTTGTCCATATAATGAAAGCCAATGGGGTGCATAATTGTATGGACCCCATTGACTTTCATTGTATGGACAAGAACACTGAGACATGAGGGTGAGTAAATGATGACAAAAATTTTATTTTGGGGTGAACTATCGCTTTAAGGGCATCCAACCATATGGCAGAAAGTATTTGCTACTCCTGCTTAGGCTGCAGTCTGGAAGTGCTAAATGCAATGTGTTGGTTCTCACTGCCCTCTGTTGGTCAAACTCATAAGCAAGAACAATTTCGTTCTTCTTTCTTTGTTTTGCAGGTTTGGAGTCTGGCTTTGTAACCTTGCCGAGACTGTGCCGCACTGAGCGTCCAGCCCAGGTCAGTTCTCCCTCAGCCTGCCTGCCTGAAATCCACAGAGGCTCGCTCACAGACACGGGTATCCCGTCCTTCCCCTGTTCAGACTCCATCAGTCCTTCTGACTCAATGAGCTCCTTCACTCTTGATTTGGGCCCTTCCCTCATGTCTGAAGTATTTGCCATGATTGACAGCCCTGTGTGTGAGAAGGCTGATCCCATCAGTGAAAAAACACAGTCCACCGATGATAACTCTGAGGTGGACTCAGATGCAACCACATCTTTGGTGGACTCTCTCCTGAGAGAAGACGATGACGGTAGGACACGGTTATATGGAGGAGAGTGGAAGCATTCAGACTTTGTAAATGGTGAGTCACCCAAAAAATCCATGCTGGGGGATCGGATGCGCTCCGTCTCCATTGAGGATCACGGCATGATGCCAGAGAGTTTCCTGAGGGCTTCTGATGTGCTGGCACGTCATTATGGGAGTGGAGGACTCAGGAATACAAACACCAACAACTCTTATAGGAGAGGACCATACAGCTATCCTGATGAAGAGGAAGAAATCAAAGTCTAACACTATGAGATGCCTAATGTCCAAATCGTACAGCACTTTTAAAGGGATACTTTAAATGTCAAAAATGAACATTCTGTCATAATTAACTCAGCCTCATGTTGTTCCAAACCGGTTTCTTTCTTCTGTGCTATAATAAAAAGATTGGCACAAAATGCCACTCTTTTCATTATAATGTAATTGAATGAGGACTGGGCCTATCAAGCTAAATAATCACAATAAAAGCACCATGAAAGTATCATAAATGTAATCCATATTTTTCTGAAACCATTTTTTTTAGCATACTATGAGGAACAGACCAAAGTTCCCAAAAGTCATTAATATTGACTTCCAATATTCTGTTCCTCTGGGCTGTGAACTGGATCATTGAGTCACTCGCGAACCAAATCAGACTGGTTTTCTGTACTTGATAAACTGATTCATTGAAAAGATAGTTCAATGTTGTTTGGTTCCCAACATTCTTCAAAATATTTTGTTCTGCAGAAGAAAGAAATGCTTGGAAGGTTTGGAATGAGATCAGGATTTTTCTTTTTGGGTGGGGGGGTCCCTTTAATAACAATGAAATAATACATTGTAAATGTAACAGTAATTAAATTTGTTCTGTTCCTCACAGACAGCTATGGTATGACTTACAACCCACAAGTCCACAGGATTACTTTCGTTAAACTTTTGGTGCTTTTTTTGTCAGTTTGGAGTTTACAGTTCTCATTCAGACTCATTATATGGAAAAGAGCACCAAGGATATTCACCTAAAAATGTTTGTTCCACAAAGGAAGGTCATACAAGTTCATAATGACATTATTTTTTGGATGCACTATTTCTTAATTTTTTTGCAATGGGGAAAATGAAAGATAATTATTTGTTATTTGCCCCTACGCTCATTGTATTTTAAAGAAAGTATCACAAAAAGGAACAGAACAAAAAAACATCAGAATTATCTGCAATATGAGTAAATCTATACATTTTCTAATTTATTGGACAAGAGCATAAATGAATTTTGGCATCTCAAATTTTCACCTATGTTTCATCCTACCTTCTCATTCCTAAAATATTAGATTTGATCCAGGGAAATAAAACCTGCCACATTTGCTCTGTAATGCACAATAAACAGCTAGCTATACAGTGGTAACAATATGCCATTAAAATATGCAAAATTTATGTTTTCACATTAGCACAAACAAAACAGATAAAATAACCAACCATGACTTTCATTTTTCTTTCCTTTATTACATGATAAATATCTTAAGAGCAACACAGTATACAGTAATATTATATGATACCCAACAACTTTTATCAATGTATTATGAAATTGATTGAATTTTGTTTGAATTTAAGTTTTATGACAGAGTTAACCTCTCCATTCCCTTAATCACAATATAATATGTACATACTGTACGTATGTGCTGCTTTGCACAAGAAATGTACAAAATAGCAATTTATGTTACCTATCAATTACAGCAATAAAGTTTTTATTAAAAGAAGCTATGAACAACATCAGCCTTAAAATGCTTTAACAAGTGTGAACATGATTTTACTGTTATGACGTTTCAAATGTCATGCTTCAGTATAAGCATATATACAGTATATATATATATATATATATCTGTATAAATATCTAATGTGAAGCGTGTCAGTACACCTTAAACTAAAACCAAAGGAAGTCAGATTGTACTGTGTTATATTTGTGTTTGACAGTTCTTAAAACCTGTATCTCTAGAGCTGATCTAAGATACTAAAGGATAACCAAAAAGACATACTTTTGTTCAAAGGCTTGGGGTTAAAGGTTTGGGATTTTTTTTCTTTTTAAGAAATGTATACTTTTATTCAGATTGCATTAAACTGATCAAAACTGACAGTAAAGATATTTATACATTTAGAGTAAATCAAAGAAACAAATGCATCATGGCTTTCACAAAAATATTAAGCAGCACAACCGCTTTCAAATTTGATATTAAGAAATGGTTCTTGAGCACCAAATCAGCATATTAGAATGATTTCTGAAGGATCATGTGACACTGACTGCTGGAAATTCAGCTTTGCCTTCACAGGAATAAATTACATTTTGAATATTAAAATAGAAAACAGTTATTTAAAACTTTAACTATTTTACAATATTACTGTTTTGTTTTTTTTACTGTATATTTGAGGAAATAAATCAAAACTTTTTTTTCTTTTTTTTTATCTTATAGACCTCAAACTTCTGAACACTAGTGTATTAAAAAAAACACTGCAGTTAAAAGCTTAACCAGAAGATACTGCACATGAGAAAGTACAAACTGTTAGATGTCATAGCAAACCAGTGCTTTTTCCCAGTCGACTTTCTTTTCTGAGCCTCACTGAGCTGGAGAGGAGAGCTGCTTGTTCAGTGCTTGGGGTGGTTGTGGAGGAGGAACTTTAGGTCTTCTGCCTTGGGGTTTCTTTTGTGGTCCTTCTTCAGGCAACATGGGCAATGAAGCTTGGGTGTTTTCGGGCTTGGGTGAAGGTGGTGGTTTTATTTCAGAGCTTCTCGGCAGAGGAACAGGGAACACTCTCGTCTGGGCTGCTGGGAAAGCACCTGCCTGGTTCACAGGAGGGCCTTTGGCAAGGTTTGGTGCCTTGTGCTGAATGAAAGACCTCCTTGCTGCAGAAATCAATTGGAAATTTAGGTTCTACCACAATAAGACAGCACAAAAAGCATCTATGATCACCAACATACATTTATAAGGAGCAGTGATCTTCAGGGTGGGCTCCTGGGATTTGGAGGGCAGCTCCTGAGTTGGCTCTGATTGGCTGGAGCACTGTGTCTTAGCCTGTGATTGGCTGTGGGCGTGTACCGGAGTGTAACGAGGAAGTGCTGAAGGCATGTGATTCAGTGTAGGTGGCTGAGCAATTGGATTAGAATCATTGTTGTCCCACACAACAGCATCACGGTTCACCTGAGTTTTCACAACTACTGTCACCCCAAGGTCCTCAGATGATGCTGAGCTGAAATTAGAAGCACACAAACCAAAACAAAATAAGACTTTTGTAAGTTTAACTTCATTAGTCTCATTTAGTAGGAAGTCTTGAAAGTTGGTTGACTACCTGTCAGTTTTTGATAGGGATGGTCGACCAGAGGAGAAAGGGGGAGAGGTTAAGATGCTGTCAGAAAGAGGTCTCTGGGATATTTTCGGGATCGGGTTTTCAGGAAGTTCTGGGACCTCAAAATCAACCTCTAAAAAGAATTTGAGGAAGTTTGTGTTTAAATATTTTTATTTTGAATTTCACAAAATAAAATTCTTTGCACTTCACTGTTTTAATTATTTTTAATATCTAATACTTCATAAATAATTCAGCAAAAATAAAAACGTAAAACTTCCTAATTACATTAGTTTCCCCAAAGGAGGTTCATGAGTTGATGAAAAGCTAAAAATATCCAATTAAAATGAAAATAAAGGAATAGGGTGGCACAATAATCACAATATAGTGCTTATCAAATTAAAGGTTTCAGTCAAATTAAAGATTTAATTAAATAACATGTTAAATAACTGCGAGTTTAACATGCATTTGGGAATGGTCACCTTTTTTTTATTTTTTTTTACACATTTGCAAAATTTCCAACATTTTTGAGAGCAAAAGTTTGCAGCATTTCAACAGTATTCCACCAAAATAAAAGCTTGAGGATTTGAATTTTTTAAGGCTTGAGGGTTTAGACATTTGAAATTTAAGACATAAATATTAATATTGTAACTTGTAGTGTGAAATAAAATTATTATAATTATTAGCAAATATTCATTTGTATTTTACAGTACAATTGTAAGTTACAACAGAAATATATTTTCATTTTTGTAAGTAGAGTAAAACATAGTTTTTATTACTATTATTCAATTTAATTGGGTTCCTAAAACAGCAGTGTGAATATAATGTGGACTGAGACTAAAAAGAGATTTGTGTCGACTTTAAAGACAAAATAAGCTCAAAATAAAACACTTACTAAAAAACTTAAAATCTTTTATCTGTTTGCATGCCATGTGACCATTAAGCGACATCAGAGAATAGTAAACATGCAAACTTTTCGTAAAATTATTGAAATATTAACTACTTAAAATATCACGGGGTACTTCAAGTAAATATTTTATGTCTAAGAGGTTTGGCTGCATTAAAGGATGAACTGAAATGAAATTCTGGAAGTAATAAAGGATGAACAGAAATGAAATTCTGGAAGTAATAAGATATTAAAAATATTTATTGCTGTTTTTAACAACAGTGAACCATGACTTATGTAATGTTCCTGTACCTTCGGGGAAGAGGCTCTTGGAATACTGTATAAGCGGCTCTATGACAGTCACAACTTGCAATGAAGAGGCAGATGCCATGTCCAGCAATGGCGTCTCTCTGAAAAAGAGAAAGTCAGAGTAACATTTTATGAGATTACATTTTAGATGCATACTTTAGTCTAGACTGGGTGCTATTATACTGACCCCTCACAGCGAGGCCACATTAGATTAGGTCCAAGCACTATAGCTATATTACTGGGTGTCATCTTATTCACCGCTTGCTGCTCTGACAAGTGTGACAGGAACTGGACAAGGTATCTGATGGAGAGAGAGAGAAGTCGAAGAAAGATACACAGAGTGAATGTGAAGTGTGAAAATCTGCATTAATAGTTTGAGGTGGATATGAGCCATTCAGAGTTGAAACTCTGACTTACCTGAGGTTGTGATAGTTTTCTGTGGGAAGTTTTTGCAACACTGTCCGCAACTGCTTTAATTTTTCATCTGTTTCTTTTTCTCTAAAAATAAAAAATGACAAGACAATTAAAATGCATTCAAACTCAGTATCTAAGGAGTTTTAACATCGATACAGAAATAAACAAGCCGCATGTACAGACTTACGCTGCAGCTTTGAACCAGTCATTATATAACTCAAATGTCATGAGCGGTTCAGGCAACTCTCTCAAGTAACACTTAAGAGCCCCTGCAAATACAGTACAAACAATATAACATTAAATACCAGTATATGAATATGAATAGACAGCATCAGTCCCCATTTGCTATTAGTGTATAAAAAAGAGCAGCTTGAACATTCTGCTAAAGTTCTCCTATTGTTCTCCTACGACATGAATAAATGATGGCTGAAATGTTTCTGTAATAGACAATGAGGATCCTAACAACACATCTGTTTTTTTTTTAAATATGCTGCAGTTTGTCACCTTAACCACATTTTGCAACCACATTTGGTGTATCACAAAGCACTTATCCCATTATTGTCAGTCAAAGGGTTAGTTCACCCAAAAATGAAAATTAGCCCATAAATTACTCACCCTCAAGTCATCCTAGGTGTATATGACTTTCTTCTTTCAGACGAATCCAGTCAGAGTTATATAAAAAATTGTCTTTGATTTTTCAAGCTGTTTAATGCCACTCAGCGGGTGTTGCATGCATCAGTTCAAAAGCAGTTAAATAATAAGTATCTCACACGGCTCCGGGGGGTGAACAAAGGCCTCCTGTAGGGAATCGATGCGTTTTTGTAAGAAAAATATCCATATTCAAAACGTAATAATCACTTTAATCTAGCTTGCGCCAACAGTTGTACACGGAAGCAACTCCGGGCGGATGACGTATGAGGTCAGCGTTGCGCATGCGCTGGTGAGTCTTGTGAAAACCAACGTATGTTTACAGGAGCAAAGGAAGCAACGTTTCCTTACTTTAGCAAAGGAAAACCAGTCTCCTCTTGGCTTATATCGAAATCCTCCGACATTCTTCTTTACAAATCCTCGTTTTGTACTTCTAATTAGTGACCGTTGTTTTGTTTTGATCTCTCCTCTGCGTTTGCGCATGCGCCGCTCAGAAGTGACGCACGCGGAAAGCACAGGCC